AGAGAGAGAGAGAGAGAGAGAGAGAGAGAGAGAGAGAGAGAGAGAGAAATAACAAATTAACTGATTTGGCCCAGATCTGAAGTCATGAAAGAGGATGACACCACCAAGGGGTGAATGAGTGTAGAGTGTAGAGAGTGTGAAAAATCAAAAAGAGAATCTTGAGAAATGTCATTTATATTCACATAGTCCTAACAACAGGAGAATAATTGGTCCCAAGCAAAGGAAAACAGGGCAGGGCACACAGGTGCAGAAGCCAGGGGAGGAAGGGTGTCAAAATCCCACTGAGGGGACAAGATGAAAAAGCGGCCAGTGGGTGTAGTAATTGGAGGTCACCCTTAAACGAGTATTAATTCAAGGCTCAGGTAAGAAATATGGCAAAGAGCAGCGCAAAGCATGTGTGAGGAAAATGCTACAGCAGCGCGGGAGGACAGTGACAGCGAACGAAGGGCAAGATGGGCCAGGTGGTGAGGGTGACTGCCCAGCTCAGAGAGGTTTTGTTTAGGGTAGGGGAGACGTGAGCACATTTGTAGATGGCAGCGAAGCCACTGGAGAGAGACTGACTATGCCAAGACACAAGAGGGAGAGGAGATACCTGATTGGGCATAAAGGTTGATAAGTCAAAAAGGAACGGAAATGAGAGCCCAGTGCAACCTTAACAGCCTTAAAAAGGGAGCTGCAAACAGCTGTGGTTTATCAGCACGGATGTTTCTCGTCCACACGGCAAAGCATAGCTTCCAAAGCAGGGGCGATCTTTCTTAATTACCCAGCTTCTGTGGCTATCATATATATAGCCTTAGGGCTGGAACAAAGGAGGGAGGCTCTTAGTAAAAGCCCTCGATGACAGTGACGGTGTCATTCCCACTTTGCAGACATTCCATTCATTCCTACCCTGTCTTTCAGCAGAACGTAGGACAGGTATTGTTGTGAGGGCCAGAAATGGGAGCTCTGATTTGGATGCCAAAATCAAAGTTAGGAAAGGAGCCAGTGTTTCCTGTTGCCCCCTAGATAGCCCCACATTGCTCTGCAAAACCGCAATAGTCACTTAACCCCCGGGCACTCACACCAGGGGAAAAGCTTTCGCAGAATGCTAAGAGTTCCAACAAAATACTTGAACTCTCTTCAGTTCCTTGCATCTGACCTTGGTATTTTTCCCTTGAAAATGAACCACAGTAGCTCCAAGGAGTACGGGGAAGGGGACAAGATGGACAATAAGATAAGGGGTTTGGATTTGCCCAAGAATTAGGACTAAACCTTGGACTTGGTTATATTCATAGTTTTTTGGTTACAGACAAGTTTTTCCAAGTGTATAAAAGCTGCCAACAATCTTTCCATTTGTTAAGAACTGCACTTCGCGATTACTCTGCATGTCAAAAAAAATAAGGGCTTACTATGTACCAGGTACTGTTCCAATCACTTTACACATATTATCTCATTTATTATTATCCTGTGGAGATTCTTGTTAGGATTAAATAAGATGATACATGGAAAGAACTACCTTTCTCCTCATTTACAAGTATGGGAATTCTGGCTTGGAGAACCTGGCCACATATTTTAAAGTATTTATGAAATATCATCTGCTTGTTTTCATCTTTTATGAAGATGCATCTAGGATACATCCTGGGCAAGTTGCCTGGACAATCTAGGCAATTGAATTTCCTACTGAATTTCCTCAGAGAAACTATCACGAAAAAGGTAAACCAAAGGCTAGGACAGTAGTTCTTAACTCTGGATCCATATAAAAATCACTTGAAAGGCTTTGGAAACCTGCTGATACCCACATGACCCCAAATATTCTGATTTAATTAATTAATCTGAGGTGGGCCCTAGATACAGGTACTTGAATCTCTCTTTTTCTGTCTCTCTCTTTCTCTCTCTCTCTCTCTTTCTCAATCTGTGTGTGTAAGGGGGCGGGTGTGTGGGTGTGTGGGTGTGGGTGTAAATCTGGCTCCTCAATTTTTCTTCTACTCTCAGCAGATTATTCTCAGTGTTGGACAATTCCCTTAGAAAGCAGTGCTAATGGGTTGGTTTTGAGAGTTTGCAGGGGCTGCACTGCTCCAGCCCTATCAGACTTGCTTACCACAAGCCTCTTGCACGCAGCTGCTATTGGAAAGAGCAAGAGGCTTCCCAGGTTCAGCAGCTATTCTCGAGTCAGCTCAAAGCTCTGTTCATTATTTTGGAGTTCTGCTGTCTCTCAGGCCCCTCCATGCTTCCTCTGTTGATTTTCTTTGCTTTCTCCTGCAGAAATGCTACTACTTGCAGGTCTTGTAGCTGCTGGTAGGCCTCCACCTGGTGTATCTGTGGGTTCTTGAAGACATCCCGTCACCTAGTTTAGCTGTAAATGTTGTGAATGGGATTTTACCTTTACTACCTGTGTGCTCTGTTTTAATATAGAGATTTGAAGAGACTGAAAAACAATGCCTCCATATTTCCAGAATCTTCCTAAGTTACTCTAATATGCATGGTTGAAAACCATGATTTGGGAGGATGCCCAGGGTACAGAGGCTTGTTGTTAGAAATAGAAATTCCCAGATTTGAAGACTAGACCTAAACAAGGTCTGTGGCCCTGGTAGCAAGCCCATGGAAATGACTGGAAACAAACAGATCAAAAGCCTAAAACTGAAGTTTTAAGGAAGGTGTGATACAAAAGTTATTCAAACCTGGCCAACAAAACTTATGATTGATTAACCTCCAGGGTTATGGCCATATAGTTTCAGAACTACCACCAACAGAAGAGACAAGCTAAAGCCGTGTAGGCCCAGAAAAAGCGTCCTTCCCAATGTCTCTCTCATGAAAAATAATGTAGAAGAGGCCGGGAGCGATGGCTCACACCTGTAATCCCAGCACTTTGGGAGGCTGAGGCGGGTGGATCGCCTGAGGTCGGGAGTTCGAGATCAGCCTGGCCAACATGGCGAAATCCCATCTCTACTAAAAATACAAAAATTAGCCAGGCATGGCGGCGGCGCCTGTCATCCCAGCTACTCGAGAGTCTGAGGCAGGGCGAATTGTTTGAATCTGGGAGGCGGAGGTTGCAGTGAGCCAAGATCACGCCATTGCACTCCAGCCTGGGTGACAGAGTGAGACTATGGCTCAAAAAAGAAAGTACAAGAGAGATCCTTTTTCTCATTTCCCAAAGGGCAAAACCAAGTGCCAGGGAGATTCCCCCAAGAACACAGAACTTAGGGATACCAAATTGGTTGACCAAAAAACCAACTCCACTTTCAGACCAAGAAACAGAATTCCCATCTGTGAGGATATGACATACCTTGTTTACCATGATCTTCTTTCCCAAATGGAAGGATTTAATGTATGTGTCCGCTTCTTTTCCCATGTTTATAGGTTCACATAGGATATATTTATCATTTGCGACTAATATATTTTCCACATTCATCCTACATCTTGGATAACTTCTCACATTATGAGTTCTACATTCCCAAGGTAGAATCCAGGAAATTCATATCCCTGGAGTCCCTTGCGTCTACAGGGCAGACACACAGCTTAACTTCCACCTATCGGATACACCCACGGGAAATGTGGAAACAGGAAAGAGCAACGCTGAAGCATTGAGATGAATCTTTCAGCAAGTGTGGAGGTAGTGTTTGGTTCTGTAACCGCTCAACCGGTTCTTCCTGCCCAATGCCTAGACAGAGCCGATTTCTCTAGATAGTGGAATTGCAATAGAGAAAGAGTTTAATTCACACAAAGCTGGCTGGACAGGAGACAGGAATTTGATTATTACTCAAATTAGTCCCCTCAAAAATTCGGGGATTGGGGTTTTTAAGGATGATTTGGTGGGTAGGGGGTTGGGAAGTGGGGAGTGTTGACTGGTCAGATGAGATCATAGGGAGTCGAAGTGGATTTTCCTTGTTGTCTTCTGGTCCTGAGTAGGAACATAGAACTGGTTGAGCCAAATTACTTAGTACGGGAGGCATCCAGCCAAATTACTTAGTATGGGAGGCATCCGCTGGTGCAACATGCAGCATCTGTAAAACATCTCAAGTGCTGATCTTAGGTTTTACAATAGTGATGTTATCCCCAGGAGCAATTTGGGGAGGTTCAGAATCTTACAGCCTCCATCCACACCACTCCTAAACCACAATTTCTAATCTTGTAGCTAATTGGTTAGTCCTACAAAGGCAGACGAGTCTCCAAGAAAGAAGGGGGTTTGTTTTGCGAAATGGCTATTATCACTTTTGTTTCAAAGTGAAACCATAAACAAAGTTCCTCCCAAAGTTAGTTCGGCCTACACCTGGGAATGAACCAAGGACAGCTTGGAGAATAGAAGCAAGATGGAGTCAGTTAGGTCAGATCTCTTTCGCCGTCATAATTTTCTCAGTTATAATTTTTGCAAAGGCGGTTTCAGTTCTATCTGGGCAATAGTGGTAGTGCTTCTGGCACCCAGCCCCTAAGTGCTGCAGAAGTCTGGTGGCAGTGACAGGAGTATTTTTGCTGGACCGGCACCTGGGGCATGATTGGGCTTTGTTCCTAGTCTGTAGCTTTAGAATGTGGCTCTTTGGTCCCCTTTGAGATGCTGTTTGCTATCTAATGTCATTTAATAAATTCATTTTTTGTTTAATATAGTCCAGTAGATTCCATTGTTTGTAATTGAAAATCCTGAGCAATAATGTTGGAGTGAGTAATTTATCATTTAATCCTAATTTACTCAATAATGAGGAGCTACATCCTGGCCTGGCATTATTAGCTACAGAGGCTGGAGTTGCAGCTGGCTGAAGTTTGTGCGGCTCAGGTAAGTATGAGCATTTTGAAGGTGAGGTATGGGTATTGATTAACAATATTCTCAACATCCACTCTCAACATCCTCTCTTTCCCTCTTCCACTGTGTTGGAGCCAGGAGGTTTTAGTTGGATTAAACCCACACCCCAGCTACTGGGATAGATCATGATTGGTCTAAAATAATCTGACCACAATGATTGGTTCAGGGATGGACCAATTAGAAGATGTTCTAAACTGTGACTTGAAATCTTGTTCTAAACTGTGAAGCCAGTCACAGAGGTGGGTAGAGGTAAGACAGCCACAGAAATAGAGCCAGATCAAACTGCACTTGAAGCCTACTACCTGTGAACCTTTTAGTTATTACTGAGCCAGAAGATCCTTTTTAGTCATAAGCCATCTTGAGCTGGATTTTTTTTTCTACTTGCAACTGAAAACATCTCAATATAAAAACTGTGCAAGGTTTTTGCTCCCGTGTGTGGCTTTGAAATAGCTGTGCTAATCATGGAATTAGCATTTAGTCATCCCAATAGAGGGCAACATTTTGGTTTATTCCTTTTTAAAGTAATCAAAAGTTGGCAGGGCACGGTGGCTCACGTCTGTAATCCCAACACTTTGGGAGGCCAACGCAGGTCGATCACTTGAGGTCAGGAGTTCGAGATCAGCCTGGCCAACATGGTGAAACCCCGTCTTTACTAAAAATGCAAAAATTAACCGGGCGTGCTGTCAGGTGCCTGTAGTCCCAGCTACTAGGGAGGCTGAGGCATGGGAATCACTTGAACCCGGGAGGCGGAGGTTACAGTCAACTGAGATTAGGCCACTGCACTCCAGGCTGGGCAACAGAGCGAGACTCAGTCTCAAAACACAAAAATAACAAAATAAAAGTACTCAAAAGCTATTTAACATATTAAACTTGGTGCCAACTTGTGCTGGGCACTGGGCTGGTGACTAGAGATGGAAAGATGAGTAAGATGTAGTACATGTTCTAAAAGGTTCCATTTTAGCAGGTCTCAAAGGAATTTATACCTCAAAAATTCAACCTTGTTCTATCAGTGAGAATACTGAAGTTCAGAGAAGTCTCTTACCCAGTTATTAACAGCACCAGGACTGGAAGCAAGGTTTATCAGTGTATTCGTCCATTCTTGCATTGATATAAAGAAATACCTGAGACTGGGTAATTTATAAAGAAAAGAGGTTTCATTGGCTCATGGCTCTGCAGACTGTACAGGAAACATGATGCCTATATCTGCTTAGCTTCTGGGGAGGCCTGAGGAAACTTACAATCATGGTAGAAGACCGAGGGGAAGCACACAAGTCACATGGCTGGAACAGCGAGAGAGAGAGAGAAGGGGAAGGTGCTGCACATTCTTCAGCAACCAGATCTCATGAGAATTCACTGAAAATGGCAAGGACAGTACCAAGGGGATGATGCTAAGCCACTCATTAGGAAATCCACCCCCATGATCCAGTCACCTCCCACCAGCCCCTATCTTCAGCACTGAGGATTACAATTCAATATAGGATTTGATGGGGACACAGATCCAAACCACCTCAGCCAGCTACAAGCCTGTGGTAATTTTGATTTGATAAATAAATATTTGCATTAAGTATCTAAGACATCTAAGATAACCAGGGTGTTCTGCTTCAGAGTTTGGATGTAGAGATATATGTAAATTTCCCAGCCTCTTGCAATAGCCTCTAAAATACAACAGTGGGATAAACAGATCCTCAGGCTAGTAGGGAATCTATTTCCCACCCTCAGAACAACTTATTCCCTATAAACCCAAGGCTCTCACAGGGAATTCCCTCACTCACATCCAAGGGCCAGCCCTGGTTGCTTGGACATAAAAAATCCCAGATCATACTCACGTTGCCATTGCAGCTGTTGGCACCGGAATAGGTTGTCACTGTTGAGTCCAAAGAAACGTGGATGGTGCTGAGTTTCCTGCTTCTGAGACCCCCGCTATCAATGGTGTCCAGAGTGCTCAAGTTATAGTGGCTCACCACTGTGGGAAGAGGACAAGCTTCCCCTTCACCAGTGCTACAGTTGAACAAGGCTGTCCCATGCCAGCATTGCCCTGGGATCCCAGTGTTAGAGCTCTTTAGGTTCACTTCTAAATCCTTTGCCACTGGGCAAAAGGCCTTGCCCAGGACGACTGAGAAGGAGAAGTTCCAGCATCTGCTGCCAGAACCATGGTTCTCCTTTTATCACTGGACTTAGTCAAAGTGCCTGACCACTATCACATTGCTTTCTGCCCTTGGGGCAATTTTATCCAGAGAGCCTCGATTGCCCATATCTGTCACTGTGTCTTTGTCAGGGCCATCCCAACTTATAATAGCACTTATTCTCCAGGAAGAAGCACTGAGATCTACCGTCATCTTCTCTGAAGACCCGTGAATTCCCAATGGATATTACCCTTGTCTCACACAGCAGCCATTAAGTTCCTCCTACCCATTGGGTGTTTTCTGGCTTTTGGTTTTTTTTGGGGGGTGGGGGAGCAAAATTAATTTCAATCACATTGAATACCCTATTATAAATCTCTGTTGTCTTTTGGATAGAGGAAAGTAATCTATATCTTCTAAGGACAATAATATTTTAGATTCTCTTTGAAAAAGATCTCACTGAATTGTTGAAATTCTAAAAAAATCACCATAACAGCTAATATAAAATAAAACCTTTAAGGTCTGGCTCATTGGCTCATGCCTGTAATCCCAGCACTGTGGGAAACTGAGGCAGGAAGATCACCTGAGGTCAGAGTTTGAGACCAGCCTGGTCAACAGAGTGAAACCCCATCTCTACTAATACACAAAATTAGTCAGCCATGGTGATGGGTACCTGTAATCCCAGCTATTCAGGAGGCTGAGGCAGGAGAATCGCTTGAACTCAGAAGGTGGAGGTTGCAGTGAGCCGAGAGATGGCGCGATTACACACCAGCCTGGGCAACAGAGCAAGACTGTGTCTCACACACACACACACACACACACACACACACACACAGGCACACACAGATCTTTAACTAAATTGCTGAATATGGTGGGCAACCTCTACAATGGCTCCTAGGGAGTCCCACCTTTCAGCATACATGCCCTTGTGTAATCCCCTGCCCTCGAGTGTGAGCTGGCCCTACCTAGCGACTTGCTTCTAACAAAAAGAAAATAGTGAAATCAATGGACTGTCATTTTTGAGATTAGGTTACAAAAAGATTCTGATTTTTCTCCTATTATCTGGTCTCTCTCTCTCTCTCTCCCCCCCCCCCCCCCCCCCCCCCCCCCCCCTCTCTCTCCTCTGACCACCCCCTATCCTTCCCCACCCCCCCATCTCAGAAGCCCCCCCCCATCCTCCCCCCACCCCCCCATCTCTCTCCCTCCTCCCTCCTTACTCTAGGTGAAGCAAGCTGCCATGCTGTGAATAACCCTGTGGAAAGACCTGCAAAGAACTGGGGTCTCTGGCCAATAGCGAGTTTGGCTCTGAGGCCCGCCAACAGCCACATGAATGATCTTGGAAGCAGTGTCCTCTACGAAGCCTTGAGAGGACTGCAGCCCTGGCCAACACCTTGATTTCAGTCTCTCTTATAAGAAATCCTGGATTTTCTTTAGGCTTATGAAGAGTCTCAGGCACCCAGACTAACTGCAACTGCATCCTGATTCCTGAAAGACAGTCTTGAAATGCCTGTCTGCTGCTTTAATCCACTATGTTTTGGGGGTTGTTACACAGCAGTAGATAGCTAATACACTGAGTATTTGTAATACAAGATATTTGGCTTTATATAAGACTCTGGCTTCAAGAGTGTTTGCATTCTTTGAAAGCTTTGTTCATACTTGAAGGAAAAATCAGTGACTCCGACCCGGGAAATCTCTCCCTAAGCCTCCCAGCTCCACGACTGATTGACAGAGCGTCTCTGGGTTAACCACCTTCAGTTTCCTCACCTTTAAAAAAGGTATGATCATTTCTACCCTACTTTTCAGAGTTACACCAGTGGAAATAATACATGTAAAGCCACTTCCAGCAAGTGAAGCGCCGCACACACGATATGTTTTGTTTTTAAAAGCCAGTCTTGGTGCCATTGCCATTTTCTGTTCTTTTCCTCTAAATACATCCATCCTTCATACAATCCCAATTGTGCTGTGTTGTGTTTAGCCTGAGAAATACGACCAATTGAAACTGTACACCACCGGTGAGGCTAAAGGCAGCACTGAGTTGCTACTGAAATTCAGTGTGTTTTCAAAGCGCTTTTCCCTCCTCTAGTGAGTCGGTTGTCAGAGGACATCCTGGCCTGTGAAGATGAGCACTTCCTCCCGGGAATCGGGTGGAGCCAAGGTTGAGGTCCTTCCTGGTGTTACTCCTCTAACTGAAGCATCTCTTCTGTTCAGTAGACAAAGAAAGTACCTCATGACTTCCTGCATCCTATTCTCCGGGGTGTCATCCTTGTAAGAAAATACTGACTCTAGAGAGGAAATGTGTTTGTGAAAATAGAAATAATAATTAAATCATGTAAATCAAAAGAACAAGATGTATGCGGTTTTTAAAGAAACTAAAGAAAATCCCACTGAACCAAATCTAAATTCAATCAGATGAATATCTGACTTAGCTCGGTTAATTAACACGATTTATCAAGCAATAGGTGTCCAAAATGTTTCTGTGGTGTTTAGGCACTTTTCTGCATTTTGTGAAATGTCTACAGTGAATGTGTAACACTTTGGTGATCGAAAATGGAGAGGAATCAATTAGAAAAGCCTTCAGTAAATAGTACAGAGAGTATTTTCTTATTTTTGCTAAAAGAAATGCAAAAATGATAAGCTTGAAACAGATGAGTGGAAAGGAGTAGGATGGGAGGGGGGATGGAAATAAGCCTTCTCAGAGTACAACTTTTTATATCATTTTGATTTTTGAAACATAGGAATGTTTTACATATTCAAAAAACAAAATTAAATCCAAATGGATTTTTCAAATTCTAAAATTGAATGCAAACAGAAGAAAGCATAAATATATATATATGTATGTATCAAATTAAAAAATAACCAGAGAGAGAAAAAAAGTATTTCAAATAACTTTTAATTTTAAAAATTTTTTGATTCTGGCTAATTCAAGTTACTTTTCTTTCTTCTTCCTTTTTTTTTTTCTTGCAGAGATGAGATCTTGCTATGTTGCCCAGGCTGCTCTTGAGCTCCTGGCCTCAAGTGGTCCTCCCACCTTGGCCTCCCAAAGTGCTGGGATTACAGGCACAAGTCTCTGTGCTTGACCCTCAACTTAATCTTATTTCTGACTGCCATCCGTAATGCGATACATGCTAAGGCCAAAAAGAATGGTAAATAAATTTGAAACTTGACTTACTAGTTTTGTTGACAGCCGTAATGTTAGTTCATTTTACAGGTCAACTTTACCAGGCCATGCGGTGCCCAGGCATTTAGTGAAACACTTTCGGTGTGTCTGTGGGGCTGTTTCTAGGTGAGAGTGACATGTGAGTTGATAGAATGAGTAAAAGCAGACTGCCCTCCCTACTGTGGGCGGGGCTCATCCAATCAGCTGAAGTCCTAAGCAGAGCAAAAAGCCTGACTCTCCCATAATAAAAGAGAACTCCTCCTCCTGCCTGCCTTCAGGTTGGGATATCATTTCTTTTCCTGCCTTCAGACTGAAACTGAAACATTGGTTCTATCAGGGTCTGAAGCCTGCTGGCCTTTGGCCTGGCTCTCCTGCGTCTTGCTGGCTGCAGACCTTGCGATTTGACAGCCTCTGTAATTGCTGAGCCAATTCCTTACAGCAAATCTATGTTTATTGTATATATTTATATTATGTATATGTTTATTGCATATATTTATATATAATATATATTATATGTTTATATATGTTTTATATATATATAATATAAACATGATATAAGTTTGTTTTGAGACAGAGTTTCGCTGTGTCGCCTAGGCTGCAGTGCAGTGGTGCAATCTCAGCTCACTGCAGCCTCCACTTCCCGCGTTCAAGCGATTCTTGTGCCTCAGCCTCCAGTGTAGCTGGGATTGCAGCCATGTGCCAACACGCCCGGCTAATTTTTGTATTTCATGTTGGCCAGACTGGTCTCAAACTACTGGACCTAAGTGATTCACCCGCCTCAGCCTCCCAAAGTGCTGGGGTTATAGGCATGAGCCGCCATGCCTGGCTGATAAATATTATATATGTTTATAGATGTACATATAAAAACACATATACGTACACACAAATCCTTTTGGTTCTGTTTCTGTGGAGAACCCGAACACACTGTAATTCTAAAACAGTTCTATTTTTATTTTGGATAAAGCAAATAATCTACTTAGGAAACAAGATTCTCTCTGTAAGAGAAAAGGTATGAAATACAGAAGAAATGAAAATACAAACTAAAGGAAGATAAGAGAAGTCCTACACTATGATATTTGTGCAGGAAATGTCATTAAGAACTCATGACTGGCCGGACGCGGTGGCTCATGCCTGTAATCCCAGCACTTTGGGAGGCCGAGGCAGGTGGATCATGAGGTCAGGTGTTCGAGACCAGCTTGGCCAACACAGTGAAACCCCGTCTCTACTAAGAATACAAAAAATTAGCTGGGCTTGGTGGCAGGCACCTGTAATCCCAGCTACACAGGAGGCTGAGGCAGAAGAGTTGCTTGAACCCAGGAGGCAGAGGTTGCAGTGAGCCGAGATCATGCCACTGCACTTCAGCCTGGGCAACAGAGGTAGACTCCGTCTCAAAAAAGAAAAAAAAAAAAAAGAACTCACGATTACGTTGACAACGCATCTCCCAGCTTTGCTCGCTGAAATGGCCTGAGAACAACCAGTGCCCAGAGTTTGGCTTCTAAGTGTCATTCCCACTAAAAGGAACCAGGGATCCCTGGAGAAATGGCTGACTTTAGATCTGAGACAGAGAAAGCACAAAATAAGCCTGAGATAACTTGTGCCCCAAAGACAGAGAAAGGGTGTGAAGGGGAGAGGGAGAGAGAGAGAGAGGGAAAGAGAGAGAGAGAGAGAGAGAGAGAGAGAGAGAGAGAGAGAGCAAAATAAATAAAGGTGGAAGAAGAAAGGAACCTCCTCTTTTACAGAAATCCAGCTAATACATGTAGAAAAGATTATCAAATTTAAAAAATAATTTTGCAGCTCTCAATGTAATAACTGATTGAGGCAAGGATCTTCATGGATCTTTAACAGCTGGACACAATATTGTTAGTGATGAGTTACTCAAACAATCTCAGAGTATCCCCCCTACAGATAAATTGACAGTTGAAAACAACAGCAAACTGCAGGTATGCAATGGAGATATCTGGTGGTCCCAGTCTTAGCCAAAATATCCAACTTGCATCACAAATATTAGGACAACCTGATAGCATGTGCCTCTTGATGTGATGAAAGCACAGATTTTCAAGGTCACTTCTGTAATGTTCTTACCAATGTTGTTTAAGCTGAATCTAATCACACATTTAGACTTCAAGTACTCTGAGTTACAGGGAAAAAATAAGAACCAGGAACACAGTAAACACCACCATGAAGAGACAACCAGATCAATCTGGAAGGTAGAAGATGACAGAAGACCATTGGTCTGAACTCTTCAAAAAGTGCATCATAAAAGATATAAAAGCATGTGGACTGTTCTATAATAAAGAAATTAAAGAGCAGTAACAGTCACATGCAATGCTTGAACCTTAATAGGATCCTGAATTGGACAAAGGAATATACACTCCATGAGAAGATATAATGAAATTGTTCATTTAATTAATTTATTTATTTTTGAGACAGAGTCTCACTGTGTTGCCCAGGCTGGAGTGTGGTGGTATAATCTTGGCTCACTGCAACCTCCGCCTCTTGGGTTCAAGCAATTCTCCTGCCTCAGCCTCCTGAGTAGCTGGGACTACAGGCACGTGCCACCACACCTGGCTAATTTTTTGTATTTTTAATAGAGATGGGTTTTCACCATGTTGGCCAGGCTGGTCTCAAACTCCTTACCTCAAGTGATCCACCCACCTTGGCCTCCCCAAGTGCTGGGATTACAGGCATGAGCCACCACACCTGGCTGAAATTGTTCATTTTATTAAGTATCACAATGATATTACAATTAGGTAGGAAACCATTCTAAGGAGATTCATGCTGAATTATTTAGAGGTGAACTATTGTGATGACTACAACTTATTTTCAAATAGTTAAGTAAAAAGAAGTGGATATATGTATGTAAATAACAGAAAAAAGAGGGAGGGAGTGGCTGGGGGAGAGGAAAAGAAAGGGAGAGACACAGAGAGAGAGAGAGAGAGAGAGAGAGAGGTGCACCCAAGCGTGCACTGGAGAGAGAACAAGCAAATGGGGCAAAATTGGTGACTCTGGTCCAAAAGTGTAGAATTTCACCTTATGATTTTTTCCATTTTTCTGCACATTTGAATATTTTCAAAATGAGAAATTGAGAGGAAGGTACTGATGATAACACTTGGGGAAAATCAAGTGAGGTTGCTGCAGGAAACGTAATGACGGACCCGTGCTGTTAGATAAGAATAGTAACTTCCCCCACAGCTGGGGAGGAGCACAGCTGTCAGTCAAGGATCACTCTGTGAGGCTGAGTGTGCAGCATTAATGCAAAACAGCAGACCTAATCCACGTGCCCCAGGCCATTGCTACAAAAGCAATGGGCGCTCTTCCCAGGTAGCCCCATGTTCCAGGGAGCCAAAGCTTGCAGCGTGAGGGGGTCTCTTCTTGGAACAGAGGTCGGTGAGCGAAGTCAAGTCCAGGTTTGGCTTTGAGAGATCACACGTCAGTTGCACAAACAGGATGAGAAGGCAGCAGAGTGAGTGGCGGAAAGGAATTTGTGGCTGAAGGAAGAAACGTGGGCTCAGAGCTGGAAGCTTAATATAATTTTATACATGACAGCAGTGTTTCCCAATTTCCGGGAGATATTTTGGCTATTGTTGTTAACAGAGGACTTTCTGTGACCTCTCAGTGTGTTTCAGTTCTTTCACCTGTCTCTACCCTCTCTGCCCCCGGGTACTCGATGATTTCCAAGACCTCTGCTCCCTCTCCCTCCTCCACAACACTAAAAGAAAAACCGTGCAGCTATTTTCCCCAGTGCCTGCTCAGGGCTTTCAGGCTCCACCTTCCCTGAAGAGCCTCCTCTGTTACTGGGGTTTTGAAATAACCACGTGGAAACCTAGAGATTCCCAACTGGGCACAAAGAATTACGGTTTCACTGTGTGAACAAGAATCACATATTGTTCAAGTTCCCTGTTGGATTGACTATTTTTAATCTACTACAAGCAAAAACCTCATCCATGTTGAAATGGTGTGGTCAAAGCTAACGGGTTTAAAATACACACATATGGTGGCATTCATCTTTCGGGTAGGAATCTATTTGTATTCCTGTGCTCAGCTGTGCCATGAGGGGTAGGCTGAGAGGAGCCGATGCTGCCTGAGCAGTTCATCAGAGAGAACAGACCAGAGGCAGAGCGCCTCGCAGAATGCCCCGCGGCTCCACTGCTTCCGCCAAATCTGTTCAAAATATTGCTTGTGGCTTTCCACAAACTAATTGCCTTGAAAAATCAGATTATAAATGTTATTGAGTTCGAGGATAAGATTGTTGCTTTTGTTAATCCAACAAGTCCCTGTCTCCATAAAAGGTCCATGTGTCCCATAAGTACTAAATATATGTAGACTTAATACCAGCTAAAACGATTTATGCTCCTTTTTGTACTAGGAGCATGGTTTTGCCAGATGGTATCGCAAGCTGGCTACATCTGCTTTCCTTTCCACCCTGGCTGCTCAGATGTTCCGAGCCAAATCTGAAGGCCACCTCTACCAATGCAGTCAAAGCCTTATGACCTACATTTGGGTTACTATTCTTATTTTTGCATCCTCATGATTTCTTCTTCTTCTTCTTCATTTTGTTTGTTTTTGTTTTTGTTTGTTTTTGTTTTTGTTTGTTTGTTTTAGATGGCATCTCGCTCTGTCGCCAGGCTGGAGTGCAGTGGCGTGGTCTCAGCTCACTGCAACCTCCACCTCCCGGGTTCAAGCGATTCTCCTGCCTCAGCTACTCGTGATTGCTTCTTAATTGGTTCTAGCTCTGTAAGTTGCTTGGAATCCTTCTTTGAATGAGGAGGTGTATAAGGGATGGGAAAAACACTGGTCGAGCATAAAACATAGGAGAGGTTGCTCAGGCTCCCGTCGCCCTCAGTTTGCATATTCATCAAGGGACCGTGGGGTGCTCTTTGCCCTATTCAGGGACAATAGGATGCACACCAGCAAACCAGGAAGCCTGAGCCCAAATCCTATATAAGAGTAGCACATGTATAGAGAGCAGCTCTCCGTAAATGGAAA